AAAAAAGCATATTAGTCTTGATGCTTTCTTAAGTTAATTAATTTTTAGTTGTTTCAAAAACTGAAAATTAGTTTAGGCCATTCTTCACTATTGGGCAAGTTTTTTTTTGTTGTTGTTGTTGGATGGTGTGATAAAATTAACTTTCATCTTAGTGGTCTTTACACTCCAAAATGGTATCAAAACAATGGTAAGACCCATGTATTTTCAAATTTTCCACTTTATTTCAAATAACATAATAATTTTTGTGTATTTAAACAATTATATCTGATCTATGCTAACTATAAGAATGAATCCATAAAGACATGATTTTGATGCCTAGCAGAATTTGGAGAGTCTTAAAGAGTTTGATGATTACATTCTATTAACAATAGTATAGAATCTTTGTCCCAGAATTGCTGTGGCTTCAGCTGGGATGTGCACCTGTCTTCCTTTGGCCTGTGCACTGAAGAACAGGGCCCTGAGAGCTTTGGTGGCAGAATCATTCCTACTCTCATGTACATTAAATTTCCTTAAATATTTGAGAACTTGTTCTAACTAGCTTTCTTGAAGAGACAAATCTATATAAGTACTTAACATGCTGCAACTTAGATCCTTCTTAACTATTTTTAGTTTTTGAGCACCGCTTCACATAAAATTAGGGTTTTTAATATTTTCATTTTCACTTTAATATTCAGAGAGAACCTGATAAAGAATAACTATTATCAAAGAATTCTGACCTATACATTTTATTACTTAAGATCAGATTGCTCATTGGCTTTATGCTGCATCATGCCTTTAAACATAAAGAACATGAAAAGTATCCTAAACATACAATTTTAGAAAATACAAGCTCTTAGTAACACAATGCTCAGTTTTATAGCATCATTGCTTACATCATCAGCTGTAGGATTTACCAGCAGAATTATAGGAAGAGGTTTGTGTAGTTCCTACCGTCCAGTGCTGTATATGAAGATTTTGGAGGTCACAGCTCTCTTCTAACAAGTCAAAGGCTGAAGAGACTAAAATATCAAGAACTCTTATTAAATCCATAAATGAAGGAGGACGCAGGACAAATGTCTCCGAGATTGAAGAGAGGCAAGTGAACCCAGGGAATCACACATTAGCAGATTAGAAACTCGGGGGCCGAATCCACTAACGGAACCAGTACCTGGGTAAGAGATCCGAGTTGGCTATTGATGACGTGCTGGGATTGCCACATGGACAAGCCCAAGAGTTAAAAACTTCAGGAAACCCACTTATCGGAACACCCTGTAATATTGTGAGATTGATATTTATAATCTTTATTTATGATATTGTGTATAAATATAATACTGCAAGGAGTTTGGCCAGGTTTCCAGTAAATATCAGAGAAAAATCCTCTCCTGCTTCCAAGAGCTGGGGGCGGGGGATCGGTGGAAACCATTTTAAGGTATCACAGAGCACTCTGCTTTTCCTCACAAGGCATTCCCTCAGACAATGAAAGCCTAAACTGCCAGAGTATTTTCAGAGCCTAACTGGCCTGGTGGAAGGGAAATCTCCATTGCTAACCCTCTCTAGATATCCCATTCCATGTAAGGAGAGGAGAAAAAAAATCTGAGAAATGCTTGTGAGGTTCACAGTCCAGAGGTACATGATCACTAAAAGGCTGAGACCTAATCATAGAACTATAGAATTATTCCCCTCTCCCCACATTAAGGCCTATTTATAGCAGTTCCTTTTACCCAGTGTATCATGTCCAGCTATTGAGAAAATATCACATGGTCTGATTTGGAGAGAGGAAGAATTAGAAAGAGACATGACAGGCATGTTGGAATTATTAGACCAGGTATTTAAAATAACTATGATCAGTGTGCTAAGGCCTTTAGTGGATAAAACAGCATGCAAGAAAGATGGGCAATGTAAATAGAGATCCTCAGAATCAGAAAGAAATCCTGGAGATCAAAACCACTGCAACAGAAACAAATAAGCTTTGGTGGGCTTATTAGTCGCCTGGACACAGCTAAAGAACGATATCTGAGCTAGAAGACATCACAATAGAAATTTCCAAAACTGAAAAGCAGAGAGAACAAAGACTGAGAAAAAACAACGGCATGTTCAAGGACTTCACAACAAGATGTGTAATGTGTGTAGCGGGAATACCACGTGGATAAGAAAGAGGAAAGGAACAGAAGAAACATTTGGAAAAATAATGACTAAGAATTCCCCCCAAATCAATGTTGGACACAAAACCACAGCATAGAACATGAAGCAGGATAAATGCAAAAACAACCAAACAAAAAACACCCCTACACTTAACATATATCCTTTCCAAGCTATGGAAAATCAAAGTAAAATCTTTAAAGAAGTTGGAGAGATAAGATGCTTTACATACAGACGAACAAAGGTCAGAATTATGCTTCTCAGAAATTACACAAATGAGAACTGAGTAGATTGAAACATTTAAGGTGTTTGGGGGGATAAACAACAACAAAAAACTACCAACCTTGAATTCATACCCTGTGAAATTATCCTTCAAAAGTAAAAGACAAACACTTTCTCAACTTTCTCAGACAAACACGAATTGTGAGAAATTTTTTTTTTTTGGGGGGCCAGAAAACCTACTTTGAAAAAAAAAAGTTTTTAGATCAAGAAAAATGATCTAAATCAGAAACTCAAATCTACGAAAGGGAAAGAGAGCCTTGGAAAATAAATGAAGGTAAAATAAAAACTTATAAAGTTATCAAGGTTAAATAAAGGCATTATATAACAATGAAGGAGTCATTTCCCCAAGGAGGCATGACAATCCCTAATGTATATGCATCTAATATAATTCTATTAGATAATTAATTATTAGATGTTATCTAATAATATCTATTAGATAAAACACATTCTATTAGATAATTATTAGATATTATTTAATAATATCTATTAGATAAAACACATTTATCATGTTGTCATACAACATGAAACAAAATCTACTAGAATTGCAAGAATAGATGAATCGACTATCATAGTCAGAGATTTCTGTACCCATCTATCAGAAATAGACCCATTGGTCTGTGTGTCTGTTTTTGTGCCAGTATCATGCTGTCTAGGTGAGCACAGCTTTGTAATACAGCTTGAAGTCAGGCATTGGATGGGTGAGCTGGGTGACGGGTATTAAGGAGGGCACATACTGCATGGAGCACTGGGTGTTATACGCCAACAATGAATCATGGAACACTACAGCAAAAACTAATGTCATACTGTATGGTGACTAACATAAGACAATAAAAAAGAAAAGAAATGGATAGACCCAGTAGGCAGAAAGTCAATAAGGTCATAGTTGAACTCAATAATTCTTGCTGTCCTGGAAGTAGAAGAAAACTTTAGCAATATTTGTAATAAAATATTTTTAGGAACCTGGGAGAGATAGTTGGTATTTCATGCAACCTAACATATTTAATTTCTGCAACTTATTATAATAAATTCCAATTAGTATACTTTTTACCTTTTTCTGTTTCACAATTTTCTCGTCTCTAAAATGAAGATTATGTTTTAAAAAACAATTTCAGTGATTCATAACTTTTACTTTAGGCAGCATTTCCCAACCCAAACTGTACTGAACAGAATAAGAAGCTTCCTAAATTCCCTACCAGGACCTGGGGAGCAAAGATGAGAAGAAAGAAGAAATAAAATTACATTGACCAAATAGGTGTTTAGAGGAGGAAATGTGTGTAATACTTAAATATCTTCTCATTGATACTGGGACTGAGAACCAGATTTGTGGAAAAGTAAACTTGCAGAAGCCATGGAAAGACTATGTGTAGCAAACTAAAATATTATTTTCTTTTGTTTTCCCTTTTTTTTTTTTTTTTTGTCAAAAAGACGATTGAGAATTTGAATGTTCGGGAAGATTGTTAACAATATCAGAAGGTTCTAAAGCACGTGTCTAAGTAGGATCACAGTCACTATAAAACTCAATGTTTCATTATTTCTTTAACCAACGTGGTTAACAAGGGATTTCGTAGGCAAAAACATTGGATTATCTAGTTGTTAGCAAAACTTTGCTCCTTTAATTTTGAGAAGTTTTAACTGTTTCAGGTAGTCAAGACCTGATAAAGACAAAACAGAAACTCTGCTTATAATTTCTTACTAAAGCAGAGCAATAATCCAAGAAAACCATCTTTTTAGCAGAGAGAGAAACCAAGTTTAAGTTTTATACCAGTGTACTTTTAAAACCCATTTATTCCAATCCAAGTCAGTCCTGACCCTAGCAAAAATTCTCCAGTGATTCCCCTTCACAAATGTTTTACAAATTTCTTTTTTCTTCTTTTTTTTTTTTTTCTTTTTCAATACAGATTTTGTTGTAAGCCTCCTGTCTCTAAATAACCAGTTTCATTTTGGGACAAAATTACTTTCTTTTCCCTCAACAAAAATGTATTTTTATCCCTTTTGTCTTTTTATGCACCTCTTTCTTACACACAGAGTTGCTTCCCTGAGCCATTCTAGCATCTTAATTACATTTATCAGAATTTTAATTCTTAGAAACCTTAGTTTCTAAAAATGAAGTAGTAACCAAATGTGAACTGTACTACTCCCACGTCTTCCCAAGCCTCGCTAGATAATCAGCTTTTATTTTACCAAACTTACAAGTTCAGTTCATGTTGGGACTGGTGCAGTTTGCCAGCAAAAATGACCTAAGATCATGGTTGATTTTTGTCTCTGGAAGTTTTCGTGGCTAATTGTTAAAAACAAGTTGGTTGAAATATTAAAAATATTGTAGACAAATTATTAAACGGCTTTCGAAATCTTTGGTAACCTAACACTTTGAAGTTTTGCTAGGTTAAATGATATTTATTGGATATTTGAGTCTTCTCTAAGATAAAATGCGGAAGCATTAATTATTAAACATAGGTTTAAAATATTCTATTTTAATGCTAGTGTCAGGATAATTTTCTCAGGTGCTGTTACAGGATGTGTCAAGATTGCTCTAGTTTTGGACTGCGTATCTTAAAGCCCACTAATTTTCTCTCTGCCATAATTTGGGAAATGTTTTCCAGGTACCTCCAGTGGGTGCTGTGATTTTGAATTTGACCTCTGTTCTTGGGAGCAGGAGCAGGATGATGACTTTGACTGGAATCTGAAAGCTAGCAGCCTCCCTGCTGTAGGCACAGAGCCAGCAGCTGATCACACCTTAGGAAACTCCTCTGGTCATTACATCTTCATAAAGAGCTTGTTCCCTCAGCAGCCCATGAGGGCTGCCAGAATTTCCAGTCCAGTCATCAGCAGAAGAAGCAAAAATTGCAAGGTAAGAAAAATACCCAGAAATGTTGTGACTGCTGAGAGAGCTAATACAGAAAATGGAATGGCCAGGACCAGACCAATGCTGAGTTTGAATTTCTTCAACCTAGGATATGTATGGCAAGGAGAAAGTACCATATGGATGAAAGAGAAAGGTTGTTAGAACTGTGGGAAGAATTTATCCTATTGATAAATTCCATAGTTATTTGAATTGTGGAAAGCACCAAAAGACTTCATGGTTACTATCCGTAAAGTATGGATAGTACAAAGGAAGTAAAATGCAGTTGCTTCCCCTCAAGGAATTTAGTACTTACTGGAATTATGAGAATTTCACCATCAGAAAGAAAATTCAAGTAGTATATATTTAAATATTCCCAAGAACAAATGTTAGAGATAGCTGGATCCACTGTAAAATGGTTGAAGAAGTCTTCATGAAAAAGGAAAGACGAAAATTAGCCCTAAAAAATGGTAGAACTTCTATAGCCAGGAGGAGAAGAGGGTTTAGCTCTTATCCTGTGGAACTTTCAGGAAAATGTTAGTACTATTATAATTATAAATAGGATTGTATGGCTCTTTGGGACAACCAGCCTCTATGATGACTGTGTATTTTCAGGTCCTTCCCTTTTGTTTATTGATTGCTTTTATTTCACAAAGAATGGGAGTCAGCTGAGTTAGGATCTAAACTTAGCTTTACGTATAACATAAATTAACCACTCAGAGATGACTTCCTGAGAATCTTGCTTAAAAAGAATAGTATATGGGCGCCTGGGTGGCTCAGCAGGTAAAAGCCTCTGCCTTCGGCTCAGGTCATGATCCCAGGGTCCTGGGATCAAGCCCCACGTCGGGCTCTCTGCTCAGTGGGGAGCCTGCTTCCTCCACTCTCTCTTTCTCTGCCTGCCTCTCTGCCTACTTGTGATCTCTGTCAAATAAATAAATAAAATCTTTAAAAAAAATAAAATAAAAAGAATAGTATATGAATAAATGTGGCATTTATATTTACAATGGGAAGTGTGATCTCCATAGGATCGGAACACACATATTCTGACTGGTGAGTTCTCAGGGTCTGAACACTGAAAGGAAAGCAAATTACATTCAGAAAGATGTCAGCTGATCAAAGACAATAGCATGATCGAAATCTTTGTTGTCTTCAAAGTATCATATCCTTGTGTTGCCACCTCCGCCACAGAGCCTTAACCTTTGGAAGGAGACATTTTAAACCTTTGGCCCAAGACGCCCCAGATTCCCTGCCCCCATTACAGGTGCTCGCTCCTCTGTTTTGTACCAAGCAGCCTTCACTTCCTACTATTGTCATGGTTTTAATGCATGTTAAGCTTTTAGTTTGTATTGGAAGTTTTTGTTTCATCTTAAGTTGATTTCGTAGTTTAACTCTCAGGGGGTAACCTCATTTCTATTATCTTGTGAGGCACATTTGATAGAATTTTCTGCGAGAGAGTGACATGATCTGATCAGAGTTTTAGAAAACTCAGTAGTCTAAAGCAAATATAACAAATTATACAGAATAACATTAAACTTTATCTAATTCGTTAGCCAAAAATATGAATTTTAATCAAATATATTTCTCATCTGTTTTGTTGTTTTCCACATTACTTGATAGGTTTCTCCAAAACAAAGCCCAAGCACACCAAATTTTATATGTCAAGTCTCTATCTATAAATCTCTTCTGTTCATAGATGTTCTGAAATTTACAAATTTTAGTCTTAGAAAGCTAATTAAAAATTAAACACAAAATGTATAGTATTCCAGCTTGACTTCATGGCTTTTTAACTTAAGCTTCCTCTGAAAATGCTCCAAAGGTTTGTTTTTCATAGTGTAGTAACTCAGGATTTCATCCATCTCTATTTTGCCCTGGTCCCGGAACTGTAGTTCCCACTGTTTTAAACATCTGTGTGAGAATAATGAAATATGCCTAGAAGAAATGTCAAAAAATTAATGATGAATGGTTCATTTTATGAATATTTATGATATAGATTGAATACAAAGAAGTGAGGAAAGATCATGCTGGGAATGATTGTGTAGCTCATATAAAAAATATGTATATCAGGTAAGCAGAGTGACCTCCCAGATTTCATGAAAATCCTTTCTGTCACTTGACCTTGTGGAATACCTTGAAGCAGAACAAAATCAAATTGAAGATTTTTCTTCCTTTTTAGGGATGGATGGTAGGAGGAATGAGACAGATTGATATGGGAAGGGATGAGACCTTTGAGTTACTCTGAAATTTTCAGAGAAAGTGCCTCTCTAGTTGAATCTCATACTTAGCATTCCCTCACTATGCCCTGCAGTTAGATTATGTTGTTGTCAAGTATTTTCTTAACATGTATAAACACACACATGTCTATATGTTTGCATGTTAACCACATGGGATCATTCAAAAAATTACCTCAAGAAGACAGGGAAATATTTATTGCAACTTAAGAGGTAGGCCTCAGATTTGTTGCACAAATAAGACAAAATAAGGCAGACGACTAGAAAGGCCATGTCTGTGACTGCAGGGAATCCAGACAGACATGTGTGACGCGCATTGGACCATTTTCTCTCGTGTCTGTTGATGCTGGTCAAGAGGTTTGCCATAGGCCCCTTATGTTTCTTCCTCTCATGAGTCATATAACCCAGATTTCATGGGTCTTCTCCCAGAACAAGTCATGACGGTCACAGAGCTTGTGTTGGAAAGCTTTGTCAATAGAAGAAACAATTTTGGATCCCAGAAGAATGCCTGAAGGTTTCATCAGCTAGGAAATTTGAGTAGTGTCACTTCACATGGTTTACTTATTCTGTTCTAAGTTGATGCTTTTTGAAGTATGCACTGCATATTTTGTTTGATCAGATTCTTTTCCCCTTAAGCACATTCATTCCTTTCTTTCTCTAAAGTGTAATATTACATGACTGCTGGTGTTTCAAAAATACCTTTATTCTGTGTGGGGATCACTCACCTTTACTGTGTTCCCTCATTCATACACATGATAAGACAAAAGCTTAAAAGTGCTCTGAGTTTGTATTTTTTCTAACCTACACAGTTCTTTCTCCTAGAATTTCCCCTAACTTTTCCCTTCTGTGTAACAATTACTAAGAATCTGGTGAGCTGTTAATCTTTGAAACTACTTATATTGATTTTTCTTGTGGGGGGAGAAATGCCCAAGGCTGCTTTCTTAGATCATATCTCTAGCATTTCAGCTAAATTTGGATAACTGCTGTCCTGTTGCTGGTAGTTGGTGGTAGATAGCGGAGCCCTGAAATCGTGTAGATCTAAAAACATGTTTCAAGTGCAAGAATATGGTAGAATAAGCAACAGAGTACTCCACTGTTTTGAAGAAAATGATTTAAATTTTAAAAAACTGAAAATGGTCTTCTTTAGTTCCTACTATTGTTTAATCATGAAAAGTCTTTAGATAATGGATCACTTTTTAACGATATTTTATTCCTTTGCCAGTGGACTTTAGGAGTTTATTGAGAAATTCTCCATTTAGAAGTTAAAGAATGAAAATAAGCTCTGCTCAGGTTTTCATCTAAATTTCTTTTTGATTCTTACTGCTCTGTCTTCCATGTATCGTAACTTATAATTTAAAGCTGGCCTGACTCCACTCAGTATTAGAGTACTCACAGAACAACAGGGCACGCAGATCTAGTTTTCCTTTGGGAGTCTGTTAATAAAGGAGAGGGCGATATGATACAATTGAAAGTAAAGTGGAGTTAATCGTACTAGTTATATACAATATTCCTGTTTTTGGTTACAGATCATTTTTCATTATCACATGTATGGAAATGGCATCGGGGCACTCACCTTGATCCAGGTGTCAGTATCCAACCAAACAAAGGTCCTACTTAACCTCACTGTAGAACAAGGCAATTTCTGGCAGCGGAAGGAACTATCATTGTCTGGCGATGAGGACTTCCAACTTCAATTTGAAGGAAGGGTTGGTGAAGGACACCATGGTGATATTGCCCTAGATGACATTGTGCTTACAAAGAGCTGTCTGTCACCTCACCGCTCTGTGACAGGAGACCTCCCGGAGCCTCTTCCAACAGGTACATTTTAACAACAACATTTTAAGTTGTGATTGCTTGGTATTTTTATAGAGTAGAAAGGTGGAAGGGAAGGAAAGAAATGGAGAAGAAATGATAGAAACCCCGAGTGATTCATTGCTTTCATAAAGAAAAAAGTCTTAAAATCTTTCAAGCCTTGACTCATAATGCTGTCCTACAGATTTTTTCCAAGCTTCAGTGTGTTTACTAGTTTCTGACTTCGGTTTAGTCAGCTGCTTCTTAGATCAACAAAGTAAGAGAAGACTCCTCTGTTTGCAGTCCGATTCAGAATTCAATCCTTAACAAATTTCATTTTACCCAATGAAATATAAGAACATCAGAAACAGAGTTACTTGATTTTAATTAGGCATGACTGTGGATGGGCCATTTACTTTATTCTTTTTAGACCTGTGGATATTGTGACTTGAACGGTTGCATTTACATATTTAAATAGTTCAGGAGATTGAATATGTTCATATACTCTTTTAAACTCTCATTCTGTAATTTGTCTAAGGAATTATATCAACATATTGGTACGTATATGTTCAATATAATGTGTATAGTAACAATGTTATAGGAAGTGGGAATAGCAAGCACCATTGATCTGTGTGATCTCTCAGTGGTATGGAATGAAAATAAATACTGCCTATGTTGTTAAAATGAAAGGACAGCAGATTTTGTCAATTTATAGGACATATTAATATTTAAACCCTGAGTTTACTGAAGAAACTGAAAGTGCCATTCCTTTGGTATATAAATTATATCTTTTATAATTAGTGAAAAAGAAAGTGCTTTAAAAAGAACAAATGTTTGCTCTGGCTTTTAGCATGGTAGATGGAATAAGGAACATTGCATTTAGTATTTTCATTTGGTTAAGAGGAAGTTTCTAGATAGATGTTTCCCAGTTGACTGATTGTTGGACAGAGTCTTCCCCTGATATGTTTCTAGCACTATGTGGAATAGTATAGAGAAAAACAAATGAACATTTGAAGGCTGTTTAGGTATAAGTGTCCTCATGAAATTGTAATGCAGGAGCATTTCAGATACCTCAGACTTCATCTACTTCCTTGAGAAAAGCTTTGCTTTCCATTCTGTGTTGACTGTTTGGATGGTGGCTATACTAGCTTGTGTATAGGTCTAGCCTTTGAAAAAATAATCTAATAGCATCTACATAGTGAGGGAGCAAGGTTTATGTTCAACCACTTCAAACTTTAATGAACAGCTATAAAGCGGGGTACATGAAGAACAAATCAGTCTTGTTGGGAATGTCAGATTCTTAAATTGTGAAATCTAAGATAAAAGTTAAAAGCCATTTCCAAAAGGAAAATTTTGAAGTATCTACAAAGTGGTGTAAAATATATATTATTGGACACATATTAATAATGGTAGAGTTCTTTGTATATCCTTATGATACTTGAAGTATCATATTAAAGTTTTTTCTTTTATTTATTTATTTATTTATTTATTATAATTTATTTAATTTTTTATAAACATATCATGTATTATTAGCCCCAGGGGTACATGTCTGTGAATCGCCAGGTTTACACACTTCACTGCACTTACCATAGCACATACCCTCCCCACCGCCCTCTCCCTACCCCCCCTACCCCCGGCAACCCTCAGTTTGTTTTGTGAGATTAAGAGTCTCTTATGGTTTGTCTCCCTCCTGATCCCATCTTGTTTCATTTATTCTTTTTCTGCCCCCCAAGCCCCCCATGTTGCATCTCCACTTCCTCATATCAGGGAGATCATGTGATAGTTGCCTTTCTCTGATTGACTTATTTCGCTAAGCATAATACCCTCAAGTTCCATCCACATCGTTGCAAATGGCAAGATTTCATTTCTTTTGAAGGCTGCATAGTATTCCATTGTGTATGTATATACCGCCTCTTCTTTATCCATTCATCTGTTGATGGACATCTAGGTTCTTTCCATAGTTTGGCTATTGTGGACATTGCTGCTATAAACATTCAGGTGCACATGCCCCTTCGGATCACTATGTTTGTATCTTTAGGGTAGATACCCAGTAGTGCAATTGCTGGGTTGTAGGGTAGCTCTATTTTCAACTTTTTGAGGAATCTCCATGCTGTTTTCCAGAGTGCTGCACCAGATTGCGTTCCCACCAACAGTGTAGGAGGATTCCCCTTTCTCCGCATCCTCGCCAGCATCTGTCATTTCCTGACTTGTTAATTTTAGCCATTCTGACTGGTGTGAGGTGGTATCTCATTGTGGTTTTGATTTGTATTTCCCTGATGCTGAATGATATGGAGCACTTTTTCATGTGTCTGTTGGCCATCCATATTAAACCTTTTGATGAATGGAAAATAAAAGAATCTCTGCTCTTAAGAATAATTCAGTATGATAAAGGGTTATAGGAAAAACACCTCAAGTAACTCTAATAGTAGGTAGGCTATAATTAAGTGCCAGGAGAAGTACACAAAACTTTATGAGAATGCAAAAAAAAATGAAGAAAACCCCCAGCTGAGGGCATCTGATTTGAGGGTTATTTATAGGATGTGCAGGAGTTTGGAACCTCACCTGGGGCTTATAGGAAGGAAAGCCTCCTTCGGTTTGCTGGATAGGGTTGCCATGTGTGAGCACAGTAGATCAAATAATGAATGTGGGGAGGAAAGCACTGTGGGCATGTCTAAGGGCATGAGACAGGAGAGACGGTGTCAGACAGGCTGCCAAGGTGGCCTGTCCTGTGAGTGGATAATTTGTCTGAAGCAGGAACCTAGTATCCCTGAGTCTCTGTGATAATATTACAAAAGAAATAGGGAGCTAACCTGGGACCAACTCAATTATTGGCTTATTTCAGTTTTTTCCCCAAATGAACATGCATTGAAAATGTATTGACTAGTCTTAGGAAACAAATAAGAAGGAAGAAAGAAAGGAAGGGAAAGCAAAGGAAACAATAAAAGCTCAAAAGAAGGTATCGTATTCCTTTGCATAAAGTATGATAACTGGTAGAAATGCCTGTGGTAGGAGGACTCCAAGAAGAAAAATTAAAAAAAAACAACCAAATGTCTTTATTTATATTATTGATGAACACTCTGAAAAATAAGGTGAAATACTTGAATTTTTTGATGGCTCCCTTAGCTACAATACCCACATTCAAATGTGGCAGATGAGAAATATGCGTGTATAGAGTTAACATTCCTACAGACTATTGGAGTATTTGTAACTGTGTCTCCAGAAACTTAAAGTATATGACTTTCTCTTGGGAAAAGTGAAAAGCTACACCTTGTTTAGACTTGAACTATGAAGCGATTCTGACACATTGTGATATCATTTTGAGTTTAGAGGACTCTGTTGGAGTCACTGATGTTTTTAAAGGAATGCTCCCACTCTCTCTCTCTCTCTCTCTCTGTAGATTTTCGGGGGGCGTGGAGGGAGGAGGGTGGTATCCTGGACACATCACTGATACCATGAATGTCTAATAGAAGTATAAAGAGAGTCGCAAATGTGAACCACATAGGTAGTTTTATGTTTTCTAGTAGTTCTGTTTTAAAAAAGTGAAATCAATATATTTTCATTAACCTAATATATAAAAAAAATATCATTTCAATACAAAGGCAATATAAAAATATTAATAAGATGTTTTAAATTCTGTATATTTTATTCTCACAACACACCTCAGTTGGGATCGCCTGCATTACCTACATTTCAGTTGCTCAGTAGCCTCTTCCGGCTAATGGCTACCATAGTGGACAGAGTCGACAGTCCAGGAGGTGAGGTGAATATTCTAGGGCATTTTCAGGTCTGTCCATGGGCTTCCATTAGTTAGGGCAGAGTTCCTGAATATCCAAGAATTGCAGTTATATTCTTTAAATGGAAGTACAGGTATATTTCCCCAACACCAAGTGTGAAAGCACAGGTACCATGTTTGAGAAGACTAGCTACTCATCTCAGATTCCCTTCTTACTACTATGTATTGCCTAACTGCCCTGAGACTCCAATTTCCTCATCTGTAAAGCAGAAAGAGTATCTCTTATTTCTTAGGCCCCTGAGAATAGAGGTCATTGCCTATGTAATTTGCCTAGTCTCATGTCTGGCACACGGTAGACATTTATGCAATAAAATCAACTCATATTATCCTTTATTTGGGGCATCTTTGTCAGTTTTCCTTAGGTGGTATAGATATTTGAGAGTAAGCCTCCATTATTTGCACTTTATTAAGGATATGTTTCTTTCATATATTTTGAAAAAAATGTTTTTTTCTTGCCGAGATCACATATAATTTTTTCACATTGCATTGTAATTGCTCAATCTTATCACTTTCTGACAGTCTAATTAAATATTTTTGATGTGTCATTAATAACATGTGTATATACCCTTCTTGAAAAGGCTGCTAATTTCTCTTTCCTGCGAAAACACTTAACTTGGAACTCGTACAGATTGAAGAAGGGTAAATGGCATTATGTGCCATAAACAGTAGCTACATCCATTAAACTTTTGAAAATGACTCTTATTCCCATGCTTTTAATTGATATTCATGTGGGTAGGCTAACAATTCCATCAAGGGTGGCTTAAAATAGGAAAGACAAGAGGAGACAAAACATATATATTTAGGAAGAGGCAATTGAACTGAATCTGAAATCAGTGATTCTAATTAGTCAAATAAGACCCAGGACTTTATTAGCAAAAGTAATATTAAATTATTTTTAAGTCTCTAGAAGTTATATTTGAGAGCTTATTTTGATGGCAATTTTGTTAATTGCTAAGTGATGATGGATAAAAATAATTGTTTAATGAATTTTAATAAGAAAAAAGCAACCAGGATTCATCTTCTAAATGTCCATATGCAAATTTCATCACTATCATATTCTCTGCATTGTTGGCAGACATTTAATAAAAATTCCGAGTGTGATGAAGGCAGGGAACAGGTGTATGTGTGTGTGTGGGTGTGGGTGTGTTTTAAATCCCTACAGTCATTTCCAAATATGAGTTATACAACAAATATATTTTGGGATATCACATGCTAATCAACTTTTGTTTTAAGA